TTCCGTTTACTGTTCCCGAGTTTGTTTTTTTCACTTTTACTGCACCACACTATTTTTATGATCAAGTTCAACCTATGCATGGGGGCATGAGTGTACTCAGGAGGCCTTGCAGAAAACAACCTGGAGTGTTTTCTTGCAATAACCAACAACAGGCTCCCCTAACTCACACACAAATGTGTGTGTAAAAAATAAAATTGAAAAATTACTGCCACACTTTTTCTCCAATTTTTGGGCTAAAACGGTTGCATCAAAGGCAACAAAACACTCCATATACAATACCTTGGGGCGTCAACTTTTCAAATATATGCACGTTCATGGCAAGAAAATAAAGTGGGATATGTAAAAATGCCCCCAAAGAGAAGATAGGCAAAGAAGATATGACACATTTGAAAAACACGTCAGAAGTTTGGCATTGCACCCCCCAAAACAACCCAACATGCATAGGTGGTATCACTGTACTCAGGAGATGTTGCTGAACACATATTGGGGTGTTCTTTGTCAGTAACACATAACAGGAACTGAGAATCCATGCCTAAAGTACAATGTGAGAGAACAATAACACAAAAAAATTACTGCCCAAACGCTTGACAAAGACTGGTGGTAGGATTAGTGCATGGAAAGTGTTAAAATACCACCATTCGAAATACCCTAGGTTGTATGTTTCAAAAATATATGGTTTGATGGGGGTAAATTACATTGGCCGGCATGAAAAATGTCCCAAATAGGATGTAGGTGCATGATGACCAGCTGTGAAAATTCCATGTTGGAAAACTGGAATGCGAACCCTTCAAATAAGGTGTTTTAGCCCCCAGAGAACCAGACACACCTATACATGGGTGGTATCACTGTACTCAGGAGATGTTGCTGAACACATATTGGAGTGTTCTCTGGCAGTAACCCTTAAAGTTCTTAGTACATGTATTCTTAAATTGCTACGTGTGTCCAAAAAAAACCCCACCAATTATTTTAGTTTTTTTTACATTTGGCATAGATTGGTGGTAAAATGGTTGCATGAAAAGATTCAAAATACCCCAAGTTTAATACCCTAGGTTGTCTTCTTTTAAAAAAATATATACATGTGAAGGGTTATTCAGAATTCCTGACAGATAGTGTTACAATGTAACTTTTGTTAATTTTGGGGAAAAAAATGGTTTGGAAATAGCAAAATGCTACTTTAACATGTTAATAGATCTTGGGGGTCAAAGTTAGAAAAAGTGTGTTTTTAAATTTTTTTTATATATGATATGATGAAAATAATGGTTTCTTTAGAAAGACCATTTAATGGCAAGAAAAACTGTATATAATATGTGTGGGTACAGTATGTGATAAGGTGAATAGTGTTGTTTGTGAGTTTATATTTCCGCTAAATTGTTC